TGCCAGCATTTGTGTATGTTAGCTCACTGGGTCATCATAACAATCTCAGGTTGTATGTCCCATCCTCTCCATGCTGGAGATGTACAATCAGGTAACACGGCTAGTAGATAGCCCGCCTCCATTATGAGGACACCCAAGTACACACCAAACCCTAATAATTCTACAAGTATGTCTTCGATTATTCTCTATCTGTATTTGTGACTACATCTCTCTTACTATACCAGCAAAACTGACAGGCTTAAGCCTGCTTCTCCTCTCCAAACCTACCATTTTATCATCTCCTGCCATGATTTGAATGTAAACTGTCCTCTTTAGACTCACGTACCTGAACACTTGGACCCCAGCTGGGGATGGGCCTTGAAGTGGGACCTCACTGGACCAAGGACTGCAAGGGTAGGCCTTATGGTCTCTTAGTCCCAGGAACTTCCTGTCATGTCCCTGTCTCCTGAGTGTAGGTAGACACAATGTGAGCAGCTGCCTGCTTTCCTGCTGCTACCTCTAACTGTAAACAAACTCATCTTTCTTCCCTGAGATTGTATCTTCTCTTGTATTTCATTATATCAACAGGAAAAATTAAAAACAAAATAATTAAAAATTTTGAGTAAATATACATTTCCTTAGCCATTTACTTCAATCTGTCCATTACAATGCCTGGCAGATAATAACAGACATGTAAATACCTGAGACTTTTAAGGCTGTACACATCTGTCTTGGTTACTTTTTATTGCTGTGCTAATATACCAAGACCAAGGCAACTTATAAAAGAAAGCATTGAATTGGGGACTTACAATTCCAGAGGGTTGGAGGACATGACCGTCCTGGCCGGAAGCACGGCATTAGGCAGGCAGGCAGGCATGGTGCTAGCGCAGTAGCTGAGATCTAATATCTTTATCCACAAACAGGAAACACTGAGCTGCCTGGGAGTGTTGTGGGTTTTGAAACCTCAGAGCCTGCCCCAGTGACGCATCTCCGCCAATAAGGCCATACCTCTTGCTTCCCAAACACACCCACCAACTAGGGACCAAGTATTCAAACATACTAGCCCATGGTAACTGTTCTTATTCAAACCATTACAACATCTATACAGTTTGGTAACTGAAAAGGATTAAAGCATTGATAATGCTAGGTTAAGAGAGACATCATGCATAACTTGAGTACACACAGTTTGATATTAACAGCAATAAACTCTTGTCATATTTTTCTTGCCAAAATATGTATCTTAAAAAATTAAGTTTTGGGGACTGGAGAGATGGCTCAGAGGTTAAAAGCACTGGCTAGTCTACCAGAGGTCCTGCGTTCAATTCCCAACAATCACATGGTGGCTCACAACCATCTGTAATGAGATCTGGTGCTCTCTTCTGACATGCAGGCAGACACTGTATACATAATAAAGAAATAAAACTTTAATAAAAAATTAAGTTTGGGTTTGATTTACTACTAAAGGTCAGGTATAAAAATATTCTAAAGGTTTCAATATCTATGAAAATATCAAGAATCTAAAGTGTTAACTCTGAGGCTAAAATGATTATTTCATTTTTATTATATATGAAAACTTATATATCTTTAACTACTTGATACATATTTGTTACAACATAGAAGACATGTTGATTTTTCTAATAAAAATCATCTTTGGATGACTTTTTAAGGTTGTCACACATACCACAAACTTAATATGCTGATTTTGTTTATGAACTGGCTGATATACTTGGTACAAAACGAAATACAAGCACTTAAAACTCAAATCATGTTTATGCATTGGTAGCAAAGCAAACTTAGCTTAATAGGATAAAGAATTAGCCAAACAGAGAGTCTAACAGGAAGAAGTAAGATGCTGAAATCTATGATGATAATCTTCACAGCTACATGAGAATGCACTATGAAACATTTTTAATTTTTATTACACTTATTTATGTGTTGGGAATGAAGAAGTCAAAGGACAGCTGACAGGAGCGGGTTCTCTCCTTCCACCATATAGGGCCCAGAGGTAGCACTCAGGGCATCAGTTAGGCTTGGTGGAAGGCCTCACCTGCTGAGCTGTCCCACCAGTGCGTCTATGAAACATTTTAGACTTAGTATCACCTTGAGTCTTGAGTGAAATTCAGAAACAATCAATGTAAAAGAGTGTAATATGAGGGGGCCTGTTTGTTGGGGGTTTTTCTGTCCTGCCTGGCCCCCCAGCTGTTTAGTCCCAGAGAAAAATCACATATAGGACTCCATAAGTAATAAAGCTGATTGGCCCGTTAGGTCAGGCTTCTTACTGGCTAACTCTCACATCTTGTTTAACCCATTTTTCTGATGTACTTTAGCCATGTGGCTCAGTACCTTTTTCAGTGGGGCAGCTCACATCCTGCTGCTTCAGTGATCTGGGCAGGAGTGGGAGGAATCAGCTTCTTCTTCCCCAGAATTCTCCTGCTCTCTTTGCATCATTTTCACTTCCTGTCTGGTTTTCCCACCTACACCTCCTGTCTGGCCAATCAGCGTTTATTTAAAACATGATTGACAGAATAGAGACAATTCTCCCGCACCAAAAGAGATTGCATCACAATGAGCTATTCTTGGTAAATCCATCACAAACTGAAAATACTGTAAGTTAAAAATGTATTTATCATTCCAAATTCACCTAACTTTCCACCATCATGAGACACACTGTTGTGTCTGTTCCTCCTGGAGGTCACAGGGTCATAGGACTCTGACTCTCTGCTGCTGATCAGCATGGAAAGAGAAGATTGGCAAAGTGGTCAACCCTAAAGTTATATACTCACAAGCCACACTAAATGGACTCAGCAGGCTATATGTATATGTTTGTGCATTTATGTATATATAACAATAATAACCAAAGAAAAAGAGGCCATCAATTTGAGAGGAAGTGAGGTGGTAAATAAGAGAGGTTGGAGAGAAGAAAGGGAAGTGATAAAATGATGTAATTACATTTTAATTTAAGAAATTTTGAATTAAAAAGAGAAAAAATATTTTCTACTAAAATTAAAATTTGTAATTATTTTTTAAAAGAGAGCATTGGAGCATACTGCTAGTCCAGAGAAAGCTAAAATGTGAAGTACTGTTTCTGCTGAAAACACACTGTTCTCATATAACAATAAAATAAAAGTCTGAAGCAGAACCAGCACAAGACAAGATATATTTTTATGAAGCATACTGTGTCTTAGCTGTAGGGAACTTAACCATTTTTTATAAAACCCCAAGTTATGACTCAACTTCAACTTTACTAAATAATTTACCATGATGGGGCTGCTGAGATGGCTGGCTCATTAGGTGAAGGCTCTTGCATCCAAGCCTGATAACCTGACCTGAGTTTGATCCCCGGGTCTGCCCAAGAACCTGAGTTGTCTTCTAACTCCCAAACATTTTCCCCCATATACATATAAATAAATTTTAAAAAGCAGCAAAACAGGCATAGGCAGTCTACACTGTGACATTATATATTAGCTTTATAGCTTTTATGACTCACTGAACCATGATCTACCACACAAATAAAAGACTTAACGCTCCTGTTACATATGGTGCACACACACTTAACTATAACACACACAACACACACTTGCATTGTAGACACTAAAATAATCAAACATCATCAGTTTTAATATAACACCCATCATGCTCACTGCTCTAAAAGGAATTTAGAACAAGGTCATCAAAAGATCAACATGCAATCTCAGTTGGTGAAAGTGATCAGTTTCAGACACAGAAACCTTTGGAAAACCAAAGTCCACATCCTCATCTGAAAAGTCCCTTGAGCCTCATAAGTGACAAGGTGTGACAGGGAAGATTCTGAGTCTCCTCTGCATCCTGCTCAGCCTAGCTGAGACACAGACACACGTGACCATCTTTTCCATGCAGCTTCTGTCATACACTGCTCTGGGCCTCGTCCTGTTTTCGGTGGTGTGTGCCCTTCTTCCTGCCAACATTAATTCTCTACTGAAAGCAGTGTCCTGCTACGATTTCCACACGCTCATCTCCACTCAGTGCATTCATTTTTGTGGACTCAATTATCAGCAAATTAATGGACTTTAAGACCCATATACACAGCTCTGTCAGCAGGTGACTTATCACTCCACAGTTCCAGCCTGACTGGGGTGGATGGCAAGCAAGAGACAAGTTTTTCCTCCTGCCCATTGGTGCTTTCCTCTAAAAACTCCAGTATTGCCACAAACTAAAAACCCTACAATCATGCCTTGCTACTTTAATGTGGCTGGATGTGGTGCCTCATGCCTTCAATCCCAGCATCAGGGAGGTGGGGGTGAGAGAATTAGTGCAAAGTCATCCTTAGCTGCACATGGAGTTCACAGATAGAGTAGGTACATGAGGCAAGACCAAACAATAACACAACACCCTCTATCTCACCCTGGCTAGAGTGTGATTCTATTCCCCAGTTTGACAGCATTCTTTTTTTAAAAAAAAAATTTGCAACTTATTTTTATTTTATGTCCATTGGTATTTTTCCTGCATGTATGTCTGTGTGAGGGCATCAGAAGACCTGGAACTGTAACTATAGACAGGTGTGAGTTGCCATGTGGGTACTGGGAATTGAACCTGGGTCCTCTAGAAAAGTAGCCATTGCTCTAACTGTTGAGCCATCTCTCCAGCCAGTTTGTCTGCATTCTTATACAGGCTCCTTCCAGAAAAATAAATTAGAGGCATGCACTTTCTCTCAAGGCACCAATTCAACCTGTTCCATCAGAGGGACACTGCATGAAGACAGCCACGGGAACCCTGCTGATCACACACTGACTGAGAAGGAGAGGAGTGGAGCTCTGGGGGTTAAGGTGACAAGGCTGGTTAAGGTCAATGCTTAGTGTCCTCACACAAACTCAGCAGACTTTACAGCACACGGGACAAGGGGATGTGGCTTACAGAGTGACTAGCTAGGAGGAAAAGGCAGAAAAGGTATATTGTTAACAATGCAATCCATTACCTCAGAAAAGTTACCCAGATACAAATGCTACTCGAAATTGCACACAGTATGTATTTTAAAAATCTCGTACCTTACAGTGAAGTCATAGGAACAGGAGGCCAGCACCGAAGCATGGAATGGAGAAAACTGCAGGAGAGAGGAGTCAGGGGTAGTCACAGCTGCTACTCCACCAGTCGCCCAATAAACACAGTCAACTGAGGCTCACCCACGAGTGTCACTTAAAATTGTGACTTTCTGGGTCTTATGTACTTATTTTGACCTTTCAAGTATTCATTTATAGCAAAATTTTTATTTTTACATTCTCCAAAGAAAATCCCTCAAGTTCTACAGAAATAATTTATAACATGTACTCCTAAATGTTGCTATTTAAAAAAAATTAAATACAAATTCTTACAAGCTACCTAAACATAACTCTACAAATATAAGGGACTGAAGTGTGTCAGTATATAGACAGACAATAACTATAGCATCTGCCCATTATATGAATACATTTGATGTTAATACACTCTCAGCAAAATAATCACTTAAATGTTAAATATAAATTTTTAAATAATTTAACATTATGTATATATCATAGCTCATGAAAAATGATACCAAGGATAAAAATGTAAATTTTTAGCCCAGTGTCCCAATTTAAATGGGCAATGTCCCTGACAGCTCATGCATTTGAAGTGTGTTGCCACTGTTTTAAGAGTCTGTGCAATCTTTTGGACATGGGACTCGCGGTTGAATTTTGAGCTACAAGCATATATGTGGGGACTAGGAGCGAGTTCACTTGTCGCCAATCCAGGCAATATGAGTAGGCTGCTCTGCATGCTCCCATAATCCCAGACCAAGTTAGTCCAAGTCAACTGCCTTGCCACCATAAAACTGAATTACACCTATTTTCCCTAAGTAACTTCTGTCATGAGATATAACCAGTATATCAGGCAACAGCATCAACATAAATGATAAACAACCTGTTGACTGTCATTGCAATTTTTTCTTTTTTTCTTTTTGGTTTTTCGAGACAGGGTTTCTCTGTAGCTTTGGGGCCTGTCACAGAACTAGCTCTTGTAGACCAGGCTGGCCTTGAACTCACAGAGATCTGCCTGCCTCTGCCTCCCAAGTGCTGGGATTCAAGATGTGAGTCACCACTGCCTGGTTGGCATTACAATTGTATTTGATGAGTATTTGTTTTATTAACACTGTTATGTGTGTACTTTCACTTATTTATATTTAGTGTGGAATCCTAGGGATTGAAGGGCCTCATGCATTCTGAGAAAGCACTCTGCTACAGAGCTTAATCACAGGCTTGATCTGATTTTAATAGCTACACATACATATATAACTGCATTTGGTAGAGGAGGGTCTCCTGCAGCCTAGGCTAGCCTCCAGTTTGTTAAGAAGTTAAGGATCATCTTAACTCCTGATCCTCCTGCTTCCACCTTCCAAGTGCTGAGACTGCAGACATGTACCACCATGCCCAGCTTTATGTGGTAATGGAGATCACAATCCAACCCCTAACTACACCCAGATACTATTTTACAGTTTCCAAAGTACTTTTACCACATTTACCTTACTTCAGTCTCAGAAAAATCTGAAATACAGAAAAAAAGTATTTTTCTACTAATAAAACCTGTCCATACAAGATCATTATTAAAAACGTAAAAGAACTTATTTTTACTTTTGCAGTAGCTGGTGGTTACCAGAGAAACTGACAACTTAAGTGCAAGGAGCACGTGACCATGGATTAGAGAACACATGACCATGGATTGCTGAGTCCCAGACAGGAGACCCTCTTACATTAGGCCCCTTCTACAAAGTTCAGAGCACACAGGAAGAAAGGGTGGGGAGACAGCGGGAGCTGGAGGAGGGAAGGGCTGCTGTCAGACAACATCCTCTGAACACAAGAGCTGTTGTACTCATGGACTCACGCCGCTGTACTCCTCATAAGACCTGCCCAAGATCAGAACAGAGAGCAGGGCAGCTCAAACAGCAGGGGGCTCATGAGGCCCTTCTCTAACTGAGAGCTACTGTCAGGTAATGGCTGCTGGGGGACCGAGGGCCAGTTCTCTCTGGGAGGATGCCCAGGCTCCAGGGGATGGTCCTACACCCATGTGTATGAGATGCATCTCACTGGATTATCCCAGGGGGTTATTAAGAAAGTTATTAAGAAAGGGGGAAGGGAATGTGAAGTTGAGAAGGGGATGTGCCAGGTGTCTTGGTAAAGCTGGAGGAAGAGTAGAGATGACCAAAATATTTTGTATGCATGTATGAGATTCTCAAAGACTAGATTTAAAAAATTAAATTAATGAAAGTAAAATGTTACTAAGTATTACATAATATTTAAAATTACATAGGCTAATATAATTTAAAATATTAACTTAATGATGATTTGCAACATTTAAAATAGGGCTAATGCACGACTTTCATATTGGAAATATCAGTAAAGTATTTTTTAGCTCTTGGTGTAAAACCTTGAAAATCAGGAGACACCACTTAATCAGGAGTCTTTACAGAAACAGCAGAATCACCAGACAGGAAGCTAAGGAACTGAATTAAGTTCCCTTACAATGAGGTAAGTCTATTGGAAGCAGCATTAAAAAGTGAGTTCCTCTCCTGTTCGGACTAGAAAGTTTCTACACCCTGCACATTAATAGCTTTTATATACATCATCACGCTAGAGAAAAAAACTACCATCTCTCCAAATCATTGAACACACACACTCAACAAATAGACAATTATGAAAAATATAAACCCTAAATATAAACTACTACAGCTAAAAATGTTAGAAGAAATAATCAATTGACTAATAACAAGATGAAAAAATGGTTTTTATTTAACAGCTTACTCAGATGTATGACCCAATTTTAGCTTTAAATATTATCATTAATTGGATAACAAAAGCACATATAAGAAGGAATCAGCAATCCAAGCACTTGGGAAGCTGAGGTAGGAGAACTATAATTTTGAAGTTACCTGGCCTACACAGTGAGATCCTGTCCCAGAAAACCAAAAGCCACAGACATAGCTCAGTAGTAGAGCATTGCCTGTGCCATGGATGAAGGAGTTGAACATTCCCTAACCTGTGCCATGGGTGTAACAGTAGAGCATTGCCTCGCCTGTGCCATGGATGAAGGAGTAGAGCACTCCCTAGCCTGTGCCATGCCCAGGCTTGATCCCCAGCTCTATACAACTTCAATCCCTAAATACTTTTATACAGGCTTCAGTGATTATACTGATGCTTGTGTTTCTATTCTATGTGTAAAAAATAAAAAGACTTACTTTCACCTTCCTAATAGCATACTTGTGACCAAGAAGTTCAAATACAGGTTGTCGTACATTCCTTAAGTCCCAGCCTCTCAAACTACAATCAACCGCTCCTGTCACCACCAGGTTCTGAAAACAATTCAGAAAGAATAAATAAATAAAGAGAAACAAAGCTATGACATCTTTGCAATTAAACAGTACTAAGGATTCCCCACTAGAAACAATAACACACTTTTGTAGTTAAATATATACCCCAATCTATTTTTTAAAGTTGTATAACAAGCAAGAAAGGAACCAAAATAGTCATTTCATAACAAAAACAAAAATATACAACATGAGAGGGAAGAAACTAAATATGTTTCAAGTACAAGACAGAACACCACACACAAGAGAAAGAGGCAAAGTCTCAAACAGCATTGTAGATTTTCTAACTTACTTTTTCAAGTAGCAATAGATGTACAAGGGTTTAAAATATTGTGACAACTCAGCCTGTCTTTCTCTTTAAGAGGTTTAAAACATGCTCTGAGGTCTTACCAGGCATTAAAAGGCAATGTAGTTCAGTGATAGAATACTTGTCTCATAAGCATAAATGTGTCTCTGAGTCCAATCTTCAGTACGTACACACACACACACACACACACACACACACACAAACACATGTGTGTCGGGGGGACCAAGATGACACAGTTATTTGAAAAAGCAAAGTGTTTGTTTCATTTGTTTTTTAAGCCTAAATACTTCTATTGAATATACATATTTTCTTTTTATTTAAAGAATTCTGCCAGTGTGGCATTCCTTCAAATTTCCTAAGTTAATTTAAACCTAGGGAAGAGAAAATAAAATAGGTAATTTTAGTTCTCAGCCAATAAACTCCTTGAGGTATATAGATAGGTATATTAACATATTTAATTCATCCCTATATTCCTACTTTTTAATTCTCATGCTCAGATATTTTAGCTGAAGCTTTAAAATGTTTCACATTGGTACCACCATCTTACAGAAGTATAGAAACTGTCTGACTTTAAAAGGAAAATAAAACAAAATCCTAAAAACTGATAAACTGTCAAACTGAAAATTGAGTTATAAACAATTTGGTGGCCTGACACCTGAAAAACAAATGAATGCAAACTCTGGAGTACCAAGGTTAAGAGCAATCACACAAATACAAATTACATAACGTGTAAAGCAGTTTCCAAAACAAACAAGAAAGGCTGCACTGTTGAACTCTTAAGAATATCTATTTCCTTATTTTGATGTTTTAGGAGCACTTAAATCCAATTCATGTTAATGCAGGCCAGGCACTTATTTACAAGTGACAGGGACTGAATTTAACTTAATGGTCCAGAAACAGTACCAAAGTCCACATCAACAAGACAGATAAAGGCACAGGTTACCATTCAGAGGAGCGCTCTGTGTGGAGCCGTACTGTACCTCGTTGTATTTACACCAGTCACAGCTCAGGATCTCTGTGTGATGTGCTGGAATCACAATTCGGACTCCTGCAGTCTTCACATCCCAGATTCTCAGAGTCTGATCACCTGATAGAAAGGGAAGACCTGGTCAACCTCCACAGCCCACTTGGGTGCTCAGAGCAAGGGCGAGCTCATCACAAGTCAAGTGAGAAATGCCACTGCCAGGATATTGCATCTAGATACATTTAAGACCATCACAGGGCATAAGAACTACAGTTTAGAGCAATACCATGGTAGTGCTTTTACATCGAAGAAGGGAGTCTGACTCTCACAATGAGACACCAAAATGGAGATGTTTTAACCTTAGGAGTATCTGTTGGTGTCTGTGTTGGTGCTAGGGAAGAGCTCAAGGCCTCAAGCACGAGAAGCACACACTGTACCGCTGAACCATGCCTCTGGCTCCTTCAGGATTTTATATATGCTACATTCTAATGGAACAGCTAGAGGGAAAATTTCCTCCTTGGGAAAACAAGCTTTTAAAAAATATTATACTTTGCATTATTAAAATAAGGTTGGCACTGTTTAAATACATAGTCACTTTGATAGATGAAAGTAAGTAATATTTTGGGATCTAAGAATGGCAGGGATGAAAGAAAGAGTCTGAATGGGAAGAGTTCTGGTACATGTGAGAGCTTCAAATATCTTCAATGGGCCTAAAAATAACCACTATCTCCAGTTTAGCCACCAGCCAGTAGAATTTGTTTCAGAATTCCAAACAGTCAGGATTAAACAATCTCTTGTGGTCTCTTTTAGCCCTCGGTGCCTACAGTAGTGACGTGGATGCCCAGTGTCTGGTCTGCAGCCACACCTTTCTTCCAAGGACAGCACACGACCTCCACACCAAGGGACTCTGAAATGACCTAAGGCTCTAGAAGGACGCAGACCTCAGCTGGCAGCCAAAGGTGAGTGTTTAGTTGTTTTGCTAAAAAAAAAAAAAAACTATAGGAGAGAGAAAAACCACCCTTCTACTCTATCCTCTCTTTGGTCTTACTGTAAACATGCAATCTTATTTTACAAGTTTTTCAAAATCCCCTCTCTTAAAGCAGAATTTACCAAGCACAGCATCTGGAAGCTGCTGGTAACCAAGCTTATCACCACGTGGAGAAAGTTGGGCTATGGAGTCATCAGGACACAGGGACAAGTCCAGGTAAGAGACACATTTCATAAAGACCTGGGTAGATCTAGTTCCATCACTTGCCGGTGAAGAGACACAGCACTACGGAGAGAGTAAATGGGATCCTCCCTAAGAATCAAGTCCCAGAGGAAAACACGAGGCTTCTATTGCATCCCATGGAATGCCAAGTGATGCTAACTATCTTCTCCAAGCTTCCTAACACTAGGCTGGAAACCATAAAGTCACTTTAGCATGAATAAACACCATCTGCAGTCCAATGGGCTTGTGTTCCCTGGGTAATTCCCTTATCTGAGGGTGTGAATGGATTCCAAGCACCAAAACATTACAATTGAGTACAGAGTGTACAGAGTGAAGAAGTAACTGACTTTAGCACAGGGAAAGCAGACATCATTAGAAGACAAATATGACCAGTCATGTACATGCCTTTAATTCCAGCACTCGGGAGGCAGAAGCAGACAGATCTCTGTGAGTTTGAAGTCAGCCTGGTCTACAGAGCAAATTCCAGGACAGCCAAAGCTACACAAAGAAACTGTGTCTTGAAGGAAGGAAAAAAGAAAGAAAGGAGGGAGGGAGGCAGGCAGGGAGGCAAGGCAAGCAAATATGGTTGTCCTGGGGGCAGTAGGAGAGGGGAGGGCCAATGGCTTGCAGAAAGTAAGGGTCCTCAGGCATAATTCTCCCTCGTGATACCAGTGCTGCTTACAAAGACGTGCTATGAAAACTCAAACTGCAGACATAAGGTGACACAGCGCCCATACTGAAGGCTGAGTAAATGGCTCCTCTATTTCTCTGACACAGTATCTGGCTCTGTACCACAGTATTCAGGAAGCATTTCTGGTAAAAAGCTGTGGTTTTTAGGCCATCCATTCTGCTGTTAAGGAGACTGTCTTGTAAATGTGATGGTCCTACTTCCTTGATAGTTATACACAGTTGGCACTCTGTCCTCGCCAGTGTCTCCAGGTAAGTAAGGGACCTTCTAGCCAAATGAAACAATGATATGCCCAGCTCTTCCAGTCCCCACGACATACAATGGTTTTTCATTTGTCTGGCTTTTTAAAATGGTATCTCCAGCCTGTTGGCCGTTTACTGTCATCTAGGCATTTATGAGGACATTACGGTGTTGCCAGAGACCTACCTGAATTAACAGAGTCTTACAAAGTGCAGGCCTGCACTGATAGCGGACCCAGCAGAAGAGGAAGTGCTATGTACCAAGGCTAAGCCCACACAGCAGGAAGTGTAGGGAGCTTGGGAGAGGCTGCAAAGAGTCTGAAAGTGTGGTCTAAAGGGAACTGAGCACCAAAAAAGCAATTTGGGCCCCAAATAAATGAATTTAATTGAAACACCAGATGCCTGTCAGATGTAATATGACTTTTTTCTTAAAGTAGAACGAGGCTTATCTAAGAACCAGCTGGAACCCACACTCAGGCCTGGCTATGACTTATGCAATTATATGGAGTCTGTAATAACAATAATTTAGTTTTCGTGGTTCAAAAGAAAGTTTACTTCATATGAATCCTCTTTATAGAAATAGAACAAATATTTTTCCTATTGACCCCACAGTTTATAAACATGAATTCTATTAATATAACTACCAGAACCACACAAAACATAATGTCCTGAGAGAGCACTGCTATGGGAGACAAGCCTAGATGTGGCACTCTCCTAAGTCTTCCTTATTGGTATTAACGGCTAATGACAGCAAATTTCTACTTTCCAAATACTCCACAACTCTGAAGGTAACGAAGCCCTTCCCATCCCTGCTGTGTGTGTGGTATGTGTGCATGCTCTGTGTGTGGTAGGTATGTGTGCTGTGTGTGTGTGTGTGTGTATACTATGTGTGCTGCATGCGTGCTGTGTGTGTGTGTAGTATGTGTGCTATGTGTGTGTGTGTGCTGTGTGCATGTGTGGTATATGTGCTGTGTGTGTGCTGTGTGCATGTGTGTATATAGTATGTGTGCTGCATGCATGCTGTGTGTGTGTGTAGTATGTGTGCTGCATGCATGCTGCGTGTGTGCGTGCGTGTGTAGTATGTGTGCTACGTGTGTGTGTGCGTGCTGTGTGCATGTGTGGTATATGTGCTGTGTGTGTGTGCTGCGTGCATGTGTGTATGTAGTATGTGTGCTGCATGCATACAGTATCTTGTGTAGTATGTGTGCTACGGTTGTGTGTGTGCTGTGTGCATGTGTGGTATTATGTTCTGTGTGTGTGGTATGTGTCATGTGTGTGTACTGTGTGCATGTGTGGTATGTGTGCTGTATGCGTGTTGTGTGTGTGGTATGTGTGGTATGTGTGTGATGTATGTGGTATGTATGCTATGTGCATGCTGTGTGTGTGTGTGGTATGTGTGATACGTGCATGCTATGTGTATGTGTGTGTGTGGTATGTGTGCTGTATGTGTGGTATGTGTGCTGTGTGTGTTGTGTATGCACAGTGTGCACATGCTGTGTGAGTACTATGTGAGAACCAGTGATGTAAGCATTTGCCCTTCCACTAAAAAAAATAGTATTTTAAGTCGGGTGGATCAAGCCTTTAATGCCAGCACTCGGGAGACAAAGGCAAGTAGATCTCTGAGTTCAAGGCTAACCTGGTCTACAGAGTGAGTTCCAGGACAGCTGGACACCCAGGGTTCCTCAGAGAGAAACCTTGTCTCAAAAGAAAAAAGAAAAAGAAAAAAATCATTAGCATAAGCTTTGTGATTGAGACGATTTTTATGAGAAATCTTGCTTTGTTTTAGCAAGGCTTTATTATGAGCCAGATGACAAAGCAAACTGTTTAAGACCGTGATACAACTCACAAACTTAAAGGAAAATAAAGGATTCTCAGTTCTCTCTGAATCCAGCATTGAAGCTGCTCCGTAGGTTTTTAAAGCAGATGGATATGTGTCTATGAACGCCAGTGTGGCAGCTCCCATTACATCAACAGAAATAACACCATTAATTCAGCAGCTCCAACAGAGCTATTCCAAGACAAGGAAGCACTTCCCAAATAAGGCTAATTGCTTGATTCAGCTAAAAAAACCAGCCCAAACTCACTCCTCCCCAAGGGCATTTTGATTCCCAGAACTAAAAAGGCTCCGAACTCTGCAGCTGTTTAAGCTTCCTGGACGATTGTAGTGACAGCAGGTTTGGAACCACTAGGCTAGTACGTTGTTACCTAACCATACATCTAAAATTCTATAGCCAGTCGCTTTAAAGACTGTTGGCAGGTGAGCCCTGGCTGTTCAAGGGCAGCATGTATAGTAATAAAGGCCAGCTGGATGCTCTTCAGGACACCCTGTCACCACACATTCCACGCCTTTGTCACCTCACTCTTATGAGGCCACTCAGAAGAGGTCTGGGCTCAGACACTGTTTCCTCAGGGAAACGTGAGGAGTCACTCTATTTCCAGAAGTTGGGTACTCACTCATATTATCAAATGAGGCCTCATTCCCGGGGTCGTCCCCTGTACCCAGACAGTGTCTAAGTTCGATGCACACTAGCTTAGTTATGATAATGACCTGATATATTTACTACAGCCACCACTGTTTTAGAGGCAATGGAGAGATATAGGTTAAAGGTACATAGGTTGAAGTGAAGAAGCAGAACTGGACGCCAAGCACTCAGACTCCAGAGTCCATGTTCCTAGAATATCACACTACTTATCATCCTGTGCATCATCAACACCACCATCACCTTCTTCCTCCTCTTCCTTCTTAGCTGTTTTCTTACTAACATGGCTCAAGGAGGGTAAGAGAGCTCCATTCTTCGTCACCAACCCTCCAATGCTGAGCAGCAGTGGGTATTCAGTGGACTAGCTGACAATGTCTCAAAAATCAAAATGAACCCACAAATGATTTTAAATTCTAGTAAATAAGACTCACATTTCTTGTGTAATAATAATCAAGAATTTTAGTGTTCAGCCACGAAAGGCATTTAGTTATAAAAGAGCACACAGC